TATTACAATAACTATGAAGGATTAAAATATTATTAATAGTTCCCTAATAGACTGTTAATGTAGTTGTTGTTATTAATACTGATGATCTTAATAGCTTTGATAGATGGAAATAAAATTAATCTTTATTAAATAGTCATTTATTATCTTTTATGTTAAAACGTTTAGATCATTCCTTTAGTGTCCAATAGACTTTTCAGTACTTTATAACTATAACACTACCGAGTGAACTACGTCAAATTTTTTGACTCTGAAAAATAACTAGCTTATGATGAAAAATTATAAGAACCTTTTAAATTGAATTTTCAGCGCCAGAAGATGATATATATCTTTGTGCTTACAACTTATCTAGGATTAATGTAATTATTTGGAATAATTTATTTTTTTGTGTGACTTTTAATCCACTTATTTTAAGTTATCACCATCATTTTTTCATCAGAATTTATTTCTGCACCTTCTCGAATATTTTTATGATATTTAAACTTTTTAATTTGACACTATCATCATTTGATAAGTCTTATCTTCATTTGTTCACTTAATACTGATTTCCATAAGAATAAGATAGTCAAAAGGAAAATGAGGACTATAGAATCAACAACAGATACAAAGCAAAATATATATTTTAATATACCCTTATTAAAAAGGATGTTAAATTCTTTTATTTGATCTTCTAAGATTAATTGATTGATGACGACTTTTTTTTGACATATTCTCTAATTATTTGATCAAAAACAAAAAATTTACAGTTATTTTTATATTTTTCTCTGTTTATTTTTGAAAGAACCATGAATTACAATAATAAATACTTTTCTTAATTGAAATAATGTAACTATTCATAGTATAAATGAAAAATTATTTAAATATAAATATTATCCTGTTAAAATTATTATGTAAACCAATAAATTATTTGAATTAGTAAGAGTTTATAAAATAAATGAATAATTATTATCGTCTTATGCTAATTAATTCTTAAATCTATTAATAATTCTTAGATTTAATAAATTTTGAATAAAAATACATAACTTTTAAGATATGTATTGAGAGAATGATTGATTTGAGAATTAAGTGTATAATAAATAAAATTAATAGAAAAAATCTATTGTAATTGCCAGTTTTATCAAACAATGAATTGAGTATATGTTGTTGGAGTAAATGCAGCCAAGAAATAACATCCTCCTATTGTTGGATTATATATACAATCATCCATCCATTCATTAAACTCTATGTTTTTGTATACTCCATATTAATTGCATCAGAGCACTTATTGTATTTATGAAATAATTATAAAAATTATACATTTAGTTCCTGAGCAAAAACATTGAGTTCCATTTTATAAATTAATTAACATTAATCTTCAATTTACCTATCATACAACTAGTAAACCAAGTTTGGCATCCTTATCCGCTTCCTTCAAGTAATTTATAATGGAATAATATAAGATGGATTGAATATTAAATAGTAAAGTGATCTAAAATAATTCTTACTTATTTATAGTGCTTTTTATGGCTTTCTGTATGATGATGTCATATAGTAACAAAATTCTTTCCAAAAAGAAGAAGATTTAAAAACCTCTATCTAAGTCTAATTATATAAAAGAATGTGTTCAATAAACTAGCTTTAAAATATATTAAATCAATAATTGATTTATAATGCTTCATCATTTTTTATCAGGTTTTTAGTTATTAGTATTAATTTAAAATGGTTCACAAGCTAACTTTTATTTGTTAAATATAAACTAGACTATAAGAAAATTAATTATTCTACCATTCCATAATTTAAATCAATGAAGTTACTTTTAATTGCTAATAATTATTGATAAGAAAACACTTAACAAATTTTCAAATAAACTTGAAACTTTATTGTATCCTTCATAAATTTTATCTTTAATTTAGAGCTCTTTTTTACTAACGAGATTAAAATTTCCCATCAGCTGTTTCACAATAAGGGTGAAAAGATTCTATCTTCTATGTTTATAAAGCTTTCATTGAGCATAAAAGTTTATGGCTAAGGTTTTTATATGCATTCCCTCTAATATGAATTTTTTATTTGAAGAAAATCTAATATTTCCATTGTATATTTGAATATCGTTCAGGTATTAGCCAATTAATTTATTTTTTTAAAATTGATAATTATATGC